AATGCCCCATATCAAAGATATCGAGCATTTGCTTGCTGCACTTCAAACCAGAAGATTTTACCAGACGGTATACAAGTTTGCAATAGCAAACAAGTAGACTGGTGTCTGTCGAAGTTGGTGTGTTTGCTTTTCCTTTTGTTTATTTCTCATAAAGACTGAAGAAAGAAAGTGCGCCTTTTGAAAGGAATCGTAAACAAGTAAGGATTTTTGTTTTGAATCCTATATATAATCCGCGTGAGACTGATAACTTCGAAGAAGGAAGCTTGTTTTAAATTCGTCAAAGATTTTGTTATAGAAATCTAATTTTGCAGTTGATACCATATTGTATTTTATTGTAGGTTGTTAGAGATATTTTGTCTAGATCAGAAGCAGGTCCTTGCTCTTCTAGTCAAGACACTTTTGGAGCTGAAAGTGCTACCTCTTTGGAAGACAGTGATAGTGATGTTGAATTTGTTGATGATGTCTTGCAAGTTTAAACAATTGCTGTACAAGCAGAAGTACAGGTATTGAATTTATTCCAATAATTTATTCAAAAGACTTTTACACTAGTAGATTGTAAGATCTAAAGTTATATCTTTTTTTGTAGGTTCAGAATGGGTTTTGCCAAACTGAAGAAGAATATTGCAGGCAATGTATTCAATACAAAGAAAACACGAGGCAATTGAAGAGAACGATATAAAGGAAGAATGCTATTATCCAACAACTTTCTGAAGGTAAATTGTTTCATTATACTCAATTTGGTTTCTTCAAGAGCATATATTCTTGTGGTGTCTCTATGTCATTTGAATAGATACATGGCTGCAATAAAATTACTAAATTATGAGTATTTTAACACCTGTGTATATCATGATTTCAAAAAAAAAAAGAAATTATGTAAACTGGTTGAAACAGTAGTAAAATGTGTCAAGGCGGATAATCAGAATGAGGAAGAGAAGCAGGATGGTAGTGATGATGATAACATGGATATGGATATTGACATTGGTAGTGAGATGGAAAATGAAGGTGAAGTTTGATTTCAATGCTAATAACTGAAATTATATACCACAAATTTTATTAACATATAAATATGGTCCATAGGTTCTGACAACTATGGCATTGAAACAGATTCTTGCCAAAGTGAAGAGCTAGAATTTGAAGATGAAATAAACCAGTCAAAAAAGTATGATTGTGCTGTACATATGCATTATTTAGTCTTCCAATGTTATCAATCATTTTATTTGTGTCTCTCGACAGACAAAATATAATATATACATGTATTGTTCTAACAATCAAGGTGAACAAAGAAGAAAGCAACCTCAGGAAGCAACCAAAGTTTATTGTCACCTTGCCACAGCTGTTGCTCCTGTTTAAAGTATGTCCATCATGTGGTACTGATAAGTCAATAGTTGAAGTATCAAAAGTTGGTACTATGGCTGATATAAGCACGTCATGTTGCAACCTTAGTTGTAAAAATAGAGAGCACAACTGGAAGTGACAATCATTCCTGCCAGGTTCCTGTATTCCAATGGGAAACTTTCTCCTCTCATTTGACATTTTATTGTCTGGAGCTTCTGCTAGCAAGGTACCTTTGAGTATTCACACACATGGGTCTTCAAGGCATATCTTTGACCACATTCTTTAAACATCAAAGGGTAAGTGGGTTGTTTTGATTTTCCTGATTACAAAGGTTTGAAGTTGTGTTTTTTTATATTCATTTGATATTTCTGTATCAGGAATTGCTTTTCCCAATGGTCAGGATCCATTGGAGGAAATGCAAGCTGGCCATGTTGGAAACAATTAAGAAGCAGAAAAAAACCAGTGGTCATTGCAGGAGATAGCAGACATGACAGCTTGGGCCATTCTGAAAAATATTGTGCTTACACAATATTTTGTTCTCCATTTTGAACTAATTCAAGTATGCCTTATTGACCTACTTTGTATGACACATTGAGGGTGGCTATATTTACCCCACCCCCTACTTTGTATGACACATTGAGGGTGGCTATATTTACTCCACCCCTACTTTGTATGACACATTGAGGGTGGCTATATTTACCTCACCCCCTACTTTGTATGGCACATTGAGGGTGGGTATATTTACCCCACCCCCTACTTTGTATGACACATTGAGGGTGGGTATATTTACCCACACCCTACTTTGTGTTACACATTGAGGGTGGCTATATTTACCTCACCCCCTACTTTGTATGATTCATTAAAGGGTGGCTATATTTACCCCACCCCCTACTTTGTATGACACATTGAGGGTGGCTATATTTACCCCACCCCCTACTTTTTATGGCTAATGTATGATGGTGGGATTTTGTTTAAGATGTTTTTGTAATGGGAAGTATGCCTTCTCATATTTTCAACTTATGTTTTTAGACACAAATTGTCTAGAGGCAATAGTCTCTGCTATAGTTTGAGAGATGTGGTGTAAAGCTAGTTCAGGAAGGCAGGGATACCAATTTGTTAACTCTAACTTAGGACACATGTAAATATTTTTCTGTTTAAATCACAATTATTATTTTAGAGAAACACGGTGGGAAGTAGTCCAGCCATGAAATACATCGGTTTTCAAAGATGTATGGATGACATGCTGAACTGTAGACTTGATATTTCTACCATGTTGACAGACTGTCACAAATCAATACAGAAGTACATGCGTGAGAGTCTGAATCAAATAACACATTATTTTGACCTATGGCACATTAAGAAAAGTTAGTACAGTTATTGTATAAAAGATGTAGGTTGTGTTCTGTTTTGAAATATTGAAATTGGAAATTGGAAATATAGAAATTGGAAAAGTATTGACAAAGCTGAGCAAGGAAAAAGGAAATGAAGCCCTTTCACAGTGGATTCGTCCTTTTGAGAATCACTTTGTATGGAGTGCAACATCAACTTTCTCAGGGGAAGGTACTTTAATTTAAGCACAATTTGTGTCTTTCCTGAGCCATGTTATAAACAAACATGATGAACTGGATGAACCACTTTTCATCAAGTGTGCTCACGGTGACATTGAACCAAGAGAATGGTTGAAGAAAGGTATACTTGCTCACTATGGTTTCAAAGTTGTTCCTATTGTCAACACAGAATTGCATTGAGTGCACCCTTATTTTTCTTAAGGTAATAGCTATTTAATTATTTCCCACAGATTCTAATTTGTATGAAAAGGTGTTTGCAACTCTTACAAATAAGAGGGTGGCTAAGTTCAGCAGCTAACCGAAAATCATCCTTTGAGGTCTCTTCACCTACCCTCAATTCTTTATTCTTTTCATTTGATAAATGCTTTCATATTTGCTCAATCTGCAGAACTCCTGATCCAAAATGTCCCAAAGATCAAGAAAAATTAAAAAAAATCGTAGGTGAAAATATTCTATAGTTATGACGCGGGAAATTTTCATACAGCTGTATCAATTTTTGCTTCGGACGGTTTTAAACAAAAATTTACTTGCCTTTCATTTATTACGAAAGAAACCAGTCTATACATCTCTTTATTACTTACTAATTAAAGTTTTATTTCGTCAGGGTCATTCTCAAGTTTGTGAGCATGCGCTCATCCGCTGCGTACATAAACGGTGTAACATTCAGTTACCTTCCTCTCTTCTTGATGAACATTTGAAGAATGAATGTGAATATAGAAATTAGAAATGTGAATATTGTGGTAAACATGTCCCGTATGCTTCACTTAAGGTACGAGGAATATTCGTTCACTGATCAAAGTAACATTGAGTTAAGTACAAAGAAATATTCAAGACAGAATATTTCTAGAAAACATTTTTACCATGAGAACGGGAAAAATAATTGAACCTTTTCACCTCACATCATGATGCATAAACATCTGTCTCCAACGCTATTTTATATACCAAATGGAACTTTCCTTTGTTGATCATCCTATGCAAATTTATGCACAAAAATGTTGCTTTTATTTTCTTTTAACTTATAGAAGCACGAAGAAATAATGTGTGAAAATTATCGAGTGGTTGGTAAGTATTGTATTCAAATGATACCAAGGAAAGATATTGAACATCAGGAAAGTACGACTCTTGATGAAGTGTCGACGAAATGTGAATTTCAAGCCATTGGATACAACCATGATAAAGTAAGAATGTTTGGACTGATTTATAATTTCATGTCAGCAGTAGTGATGCGTAGTAGCTCCCACCGACAATCTTGCATTTGTTCTTTGCATAAAAAAATTTTACGTCAAAAACCCTTGAGATGATAGTATGGTATAAAAATGCTTAGAAGTTTTAAAATTTAAAACAAGCAATGTTAAAAACGTTGACTTTGTAGTTAAATGCAGCTGCATCAGGTTTACATGAAGTACACATTTATAAATTCACCCATTTACAAATTTATAAATTCAGAACATATGATTATTAAGATATTTGATGGTTTACCCAAGCTAAGGAGCCAGAGCTTTCCCGATAAGCAAGTTGCAGTAAATATAATTTAATCTGCCGTATTAACGTACTTTGTACTCCTTACTCTACACGTATATGGAGACTGGGGGGACTGGGAAAGGCTTAGACGTGCCAAAAAAAATTTTTTGTTTACTTTTCATATAGATAAAATATAAGTTGAGAAAGAAGATTTATTAATGATACATAATGTCTTAGTCATACATAAAGATTGAAATGAAATAACCAGTAAATAGCATCAAATATTTTATTAAAAGAATGTGCTGGCAGTATCTTTTTCTCACTTCACAGACTTTAAAACGAAAGGAGATCAGACAACATATGAATGACACTCCAATTAATCACGTGAGCCTCTTGTTACGATATGTTATGGCATTTGTTATACAGCTTGGTAACTTCGTACTACGTCCAGAGTTTACCACTCCATTGCGAAGACTTGTTGAGCAAGTCACTGCTGTTCGTGCATATTACTTTGAAAAATTTGTGATGTTAGATGGCAAAATTACAGGTCTGGAAAGAAGAATTAAGTGTCTCGAGGGTCGTGGTGGTAGCAATAGTTATAACACCCAGTTCTCCCCATAGGTTTCCTTGTTGCGTGAAAGAATTGCAACACTTGAGCGACAAGCGAGATACGATTTTTCCACTATACAACGGTTTCGTGAGCGTTTAGATCAAATAGACGAATCAATAGTGAGAAACATGGTGAACATTACGAACCTCGAAGCACAACGTGAAGAGCGCGCACTGAGATCAAATCATACACAGCTATAATGGTACGTTACTTTGGAGAATAGACAACTTCAATCGAAAGCGACAGGACGCCATTAATGGTGTTAGGAATGCCTGGTACAGTCCACCATTTTACAGTTCTCAATATGGTTACAAGATGTGTGCTAAGATCTATATGAATGGTGATAGTCGGGGAAATGGAACTCATTTATCTTTGTTCTTTGTTATCATGAAAGGTAAAGCTATTTTTAACAGTTTCTACTTAAGCTGCCTCAAAAATTGGAAGTGGATTTTTGTAGGTATAAAATAGGCTGTCCAAGAATGTTTGGTAGCATGCAGATAATGGCAAAATTTGCGTTAAAATTGAGATCATGTAATTTGATTGCTCTAGAGGCATAATATCTAAGAGTACAGGATAAGCCATGTGACTCGCTGTGTTTTTTGGAATAGATAAGATTAGAAGTTAGATGCCCAGTTGGAACAAGTTGTTGAATAATGTAGAACATGATTTGAAAAGTATAAAGCCAAAGATTTTTACTTTCAATTCACCAAAAAAGCAGACTAAAGCTTACAATTGTTTGTGAGATGCGATACTTTTTAGTTTTTTTATCATGTACAAAAATAAATGACGATAGAAGGGAAAGGTATGCCTTGGGATTTATTAAGACTTATATCATATTATTATAAAAATTTATATTGTGTATGATATTATTTCTAGGTGATTACGATGCTCTACAAACATGGCCATTTCAAAAGAAGATCACAATGATGTTAATGGCTCAAGGAAATGGTGATCACATGATTGATGCTTTTCATTCAGATCCTCAAAGTTCCTTATTTCAGCGACCAGAGTCTGATTTGAATCCATTTGGATTGTTAGTTCTAATTTCGTCGATATAGAGCTTAAGCAATATTCCGTTCATTAAAGAGAATACAATGTTTATTAAGTTAAAAATTGAACGAGCAAAAAATCTAAATACACTCGCTCCTGCTTCTCTATATTAGACACTGAAAATATCTCAATTCTCTATCAATCTTAAATTAGCTTTATACTTAGGCAAACGTAACCCGACCTAAACATGTTGCAAACAACTCTTCTAGCTCTTTCACGTAATTTTCAGTTGTCTATACAAAACGCTATTTGTTGTAAAGCACTCAATAGTGTTTATATAAGTTTTTCTTGTTTCCTTCTGGTCAGCATATCCACAGTAAAGGAATATACAACAGTAAAGGAATATACAACAGTAAAGGAATATACAACAGTAAAGGAATATACAACAGTAAAGGAATATACAACAGTAAAGGAATATACAACAGTAAAGGAATATACAACAGTAAAGGAATATACAACAGTAAAGGAATATACAACAGTAAAGGAATATACAACAGTAAAGGAATATACAACAGTAAAGGAATATACAACAGTAAAGGAATATACAACAGTAAAGGAATATACAACAGTAAAGGAATATACAACAGTAAAGGAATATACAACAGTAAAGGAATATACAACAGTAAAGGAATATACAACAGTAAAGGAATATACAACAGTAAAGGAATATATAATGGACTCCGTCGATTTCGACTATGAGGGTTCCACGAAGTGGAACATCCTGGTTACTTAAATTATAGTGAAGGCAGCTGACCAGACTACAATCACTCGTACCTTTCACGCAACTACAACGCTGATATCAGCGTGACACATTTGTGACAAGGCTGCAACATTGCAGATGCAGATACAGTCCATCCGAGGAGATAGTTTCCTCTACCAAATTTCCCTCACATGGCTTTGGTCAACCCGGGCTAGGTTTACAGACACATTGCCAGATGTGCCACGAGCCGGGATTGAACCCGCGCCGTCTGGCTTGCAACTCACGCAATTAGCCATTCAACCACCCGCCCCTTCCCTTTTCATGCGTGGCACGAAAAAACTCAATGGAGTGGCCCTGCTGTATGTTTTCTATACCGTGGCATTGTTATGAAGTATATCCCCATGTTTACTTTGTAACACGGGCTCAAATGTACGTTTGGTCATATCATATGTACAGTTTTGTACTTTTGTCATTTTATTTCATTAGAATGGAATTTTTCTACATTTGAAGCGTTTTCTTTCTCAAATTATTTCATAGCACAAACAATATTTACAAAGAATCATCTTACGTGTGTTGTGTTTCCTTATTTTATATGACAACAATGCTATTGTCATTCTTCAGGTCATTTAGACGTTGATTTCGCCTTTTGAAAAAAAAACTAGGACGGCTGTAGCTGCGAAGACCAGATAGTGCGATGTCTTTCATTCGAGTTTTTACGTATTTATAGTGAAAACCAGAGTGTTCATAGATGCTTTCATTATGAGTTGCGGCGAAAAACTTTTCAAAGGGTGCGAGAAAATTACAGTGGTTTAACTTAGTAGGTGGAATGGCAAAATTTAAACACTTAGAAAGGATTTCTTTGTTGGTGATTAACTTGTTCGAGAATTGAACACCACTTTTTCAGGGTTGATTTGAATGTTATTGTCGTTCTTAGCGCAAAGGTGAAAAAGCTTTCGATCTTTTATGTGTTGGTGTTGGTTTAATTTCTTCGAGTTCTCACGATCTGAAACATTTTTGAAATGTATAAAGTATAGTGTAGATACGGATGAAGCCAGATGAGAATGGGTCGTTGTGACTTGTGCAGATAGCACCCGTTTACTAGAGTGTTTGTCGTTTATTTGTTCGAGGAGCAGTTTGCTTTGACATTGACGATAGGCGCTGGAATTACGCAGACGGTGATTTGCAACCTTGAGCCACAAGAAACGTGGTATTGCTGAACGCTTTTTACATGTTGTAAGGAATTTTAAGTCCAATTTAGCTTTACCAAGTTTGAGCTCGAGGCGTTGATACTTTCTGAATTCTTTAAGCGTTTTATTGTCATATCGATTTATCAATATTTTTGCCAATGAAGTGCGAGGCGGGAAGCGGATTCTCAATATAAATATTAGAGCTCAACAAATAATTTTAAACATAGTCATAAACAATTTGGTTTTATGAAATTTATTAGGAGTGACGTTTCGTCTTTACTCAAGACATCCTCAGATAATTAGTCTGAAGATAAGGGCAATGCCGTTGTCATCCTTGATAAAACCGACTACAATAACAAAATGTCAAAAACCCTCTCCGATTCCTCAAAATTTGAACTCAAAAACGAAGACCCTGTGAAAGTCACCCTACAACGTGAAACCCAGGTGAAATCATTACTTAAACAACTCAAGAAAACGAAATCAATTGATGAACAAACTTACAATAAACTCTAACCGACTGGCTCACGCATAGGTATACTATATGGACTTCCAAAAATTCACAAACCAACCATTCGCTTACGACCCATTCTATCTTCTATAAATCACTACTCATATAAACTAGCTAAATTTTTCATTCTGCTGCTTACACCCATCTCCACAAACTCTTTCATGATAAAGGGCTCATACTCCTTCGTACAAGAAATACTTAACACCAACATCAACTCTAACAAAGTTGTCATGGCTAGTTTTGACGCAACTTCTCTTTTCTCCAACATTCCCCTTCATGAAACAATCAATATTATCTGTGATCTTCTTTTTACTAACCATAAACAATTTCATGGACTCATTCGCACCGAATTCAGTAATCTACTAACGCTATCTGTTAAAAATTGCCACTTTATTTTTAATGACCGCTTATACCACCAAATTGATGGTAATGCTATGGATTGCCCCTTGTCTCCCTTTTTGCCAACATATTCATGTATTTTCATGTACAAAACTAAATGAAAAACTGTTCCCACAAATTCAAACCTATTCTCTACAGACGATATGTCGATGACTGCTTCCTTTTTAAATCACTTGATCACGTTGCTGTCTTTTTAGAATACATTGCTATACAACTAATATGTTCGACCACATTGTCCGTCGTTTCCTTGACACAAAATTCGAACAGAAACCACCTGTCCTTAGTATCCCAAAGAAAATAGTGTATTTTTGTCTCCCATTCACCGGCTGTCACTCGTTACAAATCCGCACACAAATCAATCGTTTCTACAACGCTGCTTTCCCTCATCTCAATGTCAGATTCGTCTTTCATACCCCCACACGAATCTCTTCATTTTTTCCCGTTAAGGATAAAATTCTCAAATCTCTGAGATCTGTATTGTTTATTTGTACACGTGTCGATGCTGTTTCGCGTCGTATGTGGGTCAAACCAAACGCAACTTACACACCAGAATCTCGGAACACTTGGGGATCTCTCCTTTGATTGGAAAACGCTATACTAACCCATTAATGTCAAGTATTCTTTCTCATAGTAACTCCTCCAACCACCCTGCTTTGCCAGACGATTTTAAAATCATCTCATCCTGCTCCGAAACATTCGAACACCTAAGGCAGCTCCATTCCTCTTAAGCTTTTCTAGTCTCAACACCTCACCTTAACAATACATCACATCTTCACAGTAATCTGATACCTCAAACTATCTAAATAGCTCGATTTCATATTTTTTCATTTTTGAATTTTAATTATTTTCTTACACTGAAACAATCATTACTAACTGATAATCACCTAATTGAAAACGAGGCATCTTAGGCCCCGTCCACACGTATCCGGACTCGTTTGTATCCACAAATATTTTGTTGCGGTTATGCTTATTGTCCACACGTATCCAGCGAAAACGCCAGTGCCTTTTTTAAATAATTTTTACTTGAAAGCGCGATTCTCTTACAAAAAAATTTCCATTGTACTGTATAATTCATAGTAGTTAGCAACCGCAGTACTTGCCAGAGTAATGGCAGATCTGACGTAAGCGCATAAAACTGGGACACATCGCACCCCTGAGTTGGCCTTCTGTTCATTTCCTATTCTGTGCTTTAACGTAAGTCAGGTCCATTTCACTTTGTAGAGATGTAATGTAAGTATTGTGTATTTACTGGCGAAGTAAGAAATTTATGGAAGAAATCAACAGGTCTGGTTATAATCTTTGTAATGTGAATGATTTTACTATTCTCCACTAAAAGGTTAAATTTATAGTGGTAAATATGTTGTGAAAGGACGGTCCATGATATCTGTACTGTATGGGTTAAATATGGAGGTTCACAATAAATGGATAATATAAAGTTATTAAAAGAACATTGTATAGCGTCATTTGTACACGTGAACATTTACATTGAGGTATGAAAAATGACTATATTACATAAAAATGAAAAGAGGAAAATGAAAAACGTAATCCAGGTTTTATAGAACTTAAGTGAGTTCATATTTGTTAAATTTTGCTTGCATTAATATGAGGTTATTATGAAGGATCACGGTGGTCTATTTTTACAATTTGAATACAAACAAAAGAAATCATCTTTCTTTTGTTTGTATTCAAATCTTCCAAACTGTAGTTGTCAATATAAGGAGACCACGTCTTGACCTCATTCAACGCGTTTAAATAAAAAAATCGTTAGAATCTTACGATTTCTTTTGCGTTTTAATGTCGTTATGCAAAAGTAACGATGCATGATGTTGTAGGGTAGGTTAGGATTCATTAGACATTAATGAATTTAAAAACTGGACTTTAAAAACTGGATCTTGCAGTCATATCTTGATAAGTTAAGGTTCTGAGAATGGTTTAAGGGCGTTCTGATTGACGTCACCAACATCTTCTAGCCCAAAATTATAATATTAGCGTTATTTAGTAGGCTGAAAAATTTAAATCATAAATAATTGACGTAATATCAAAGAAAAATGGTCAATTGTTAGTAGCATTTCATATATATTAATGTAGGGAGAGCATAGTTCTTTTGTTTGGCAACAATACGTTTTATTTTTAAAAATTAGATTTGATAGATATCCGATAATTTGTTCAAGTACAAACAATGTATTTTAACCCTATAGAGACCGTTGTTGCTCACAGGCAACAATCACCAAACGAGATATGTAAGAACTTTTGAAAAGGCAGGCTCCCAGAGGATTAAACAATCATGTGGAGCAAATACATATAATGACATGCTTAACACTATTTATAAAGATACCTTTCACTTCAAGCCCCATATAAACCACGAGGCGTCATGGATGTAGATGTTGTTCATATGAGATGGAACAAGACTTTACAAATAGACGACAGTCATAAAGATTTGTGATTGTGCCAATCAAATTAAAGTTGTTGCCTTCAACTCTCCTCGATAACAAGTTATTTGAAAGCCACGATGTACAGATATATACTATCAGTATCACATCCTAAATGTTGATAGCAGCAGCAAAAACAAATTTGATCGGGAAAACCCGTTTTAAACGTGTGACACACGTAGCTACTTGTTTCGATATCATGTATGAAAATAGATCCTACGGCTGGAAACTACAAATGTAAGTGACTATACTGACGATAAATGATAATTTGTTTTGAATTTATCTCTATTGTTCTTGTGAAACTCTCAATGGTTTTTATTGATGCTACTGATTTCTGGTTTGTTTCTTCAATATCACATTAGTTATAACTGAATATATGCAATGAATATAAATACACTAAATTTTCCATCTGTCTCCAATGCACTATGTGGTTGAGTGCATAGAAGTGCAGTTTTCATAGATTACGGTGTAGACGTGCAATGAACAAGAACCGTAATTGTTTTTTTGCTCGTTTTTCTACGACTCTCTACTATATTTTTAGTAGTAAAACCTCGGGGAAAACAGAAAGCCCTTAAATTCTCTCCTAACATTAACTTAGCAACATATGACTGCAAGATTCAATGAACACTTGGACAAAAACAAAGTCTAGTATATAAATTCATTATTGTCTCATGAATCTTAACCTACTACATCATGTATCTTTGCTTTGCATAATGACATTAAAACGCAGAAAAATTGTATATTCTAATAAATTTTTTTGTTCAAATACATAGAAGAATTACTTATTTTCTTTGTGAAAGGTAAAAAGCTCCTAAGGAGCCAATCACAATAAATATTTTAGTCATGACGTAAATTAAACAAATGTTAACAACGGAAACTTGTACAAACTTTAACGTTGTAGAAAGAAAGGTGAATTCTGTCTTATTACTGACGAAGTACTGAAGTATGAGTTGCATGGAATAATCAACTAGTCTTAATGGTAGGCCTCGTAATATGAAAGCTTTCAATGTAAACTGCTTTGATAACGATGTGAAGCCTTTGATCGTTTGAAACTTGTTACATCTTTCAAACTTAACCAACTAAAGCTATTTGTGGAATGTTGGTGAAAGTTCTACCATTTGGATAGTCAAACAGAAAACATATAACAATTTGCTCATTCTTAATATATCTGATTAAGAATTTAAAAACGCAAACAAACGTCATATGTAGAGTTGTTCATCATGAAATGTCGTACATGTGTTTCATATTTTCTTATATTGTAGATCCCACATGGATAGAGTTGTGAAAGTCCCTTTACCACCTGTCTCATTCACTTCAATTACTCTTACTAGTTTGTCATTACTCATGTGTCATGGTGATTCATGGCCAAAAATGTTCATTTGCAGTTTGGATTCTTTGTGGATGTCAGTTGTTTGTTCATATAATGATGATGGGCCCCATTGTTATATGAGCCCACAAAAAGGTGGTCAGCTGACATTCATAGAAGATTAAATCTGCAATAAGCATTCTTTGAGTGATATATAACTGGGGTATTGAAGTGATCTCTTCCTTCGCTTGAAGTTACCATAAGAGTGCATTGTAAACAGTAATCTATCGAAATGGCGATTCATAATACCAGTAGCCCCTTTACTGGTTACGTCGAATACTTTGTGTATGGAATGGTATAAACGTAATGAATGGACATTGCATAACGGCATTTGTACGTGTGAACATTAACATTGAAATTATTGGACTATAATCTACGAAGATGGAAAACAAGCGAGTGGAAAAGCAAGCTCCATGTCTTGGTTTGTAAGTTGAGTAGATAAGTATTAAAATTAACTTATAGCTATGAGTAACTGCATGAGATACTCAAAAGTGATCCCGATGGTCTATTTTTATAATTTGAACTATAATCATGAAAAACACCCATATTTGCTAAAAAAAGTCAATAAAAGATGTCAAATGCTGTGAGAAAATAGCTGGCTTTCACTCGCTACTTTTACTAATTTTATTAAACGTTTATAAACGAATTGCAATGCTGCAAGTAGGGTTCATTGAATTTTTAAGATAAAAATGTTAAAATAAAATTTCTACGATATACACGTAAAAACTGCGCTGTGAAAAAAGTGGAAGAGACCTACTAAGACGCCTGTATCAGACGGACCAGGACATTGCTTGAAAATCAGGTATTAAAGTTTTGTTCTTTTTAAAATACATAATTTCTGATTTTATTCATTCATTATGCTGACATTTATAATGTGTTTTTTTATAGAGTAGCTATGTCTGTAGGTGTAATAACTACACATTGAATGAACGATCAAGTTGGACAGAAGCACAAAGAAACAAGCGTCCTTATTGAAAGATTCTCACTTGCGACTTTCGTTATGCATACTATTAATCAGTATAACGCATTTTTAAATTCAACCGTTAAAAATTTCCGTAAAACTAAACTTTCACAGTTGTCAAATTTTCGGACAAAACACACGAGTGAAAGCCAGCTGATAATGAAGGTCTTAGAAAAGCAACATAGAAATTTTAATCGAATGAAGTCTAGTAGACGTCAAAAATAATTTGTATGCAAGTCGCGAGGTCACTTTGGTCATTTCATTTTTCATTGTTATTGGTAGGTGAATGATCAGGTCGAACGTACTAATGAATTTTTTATATGATTTATGTATGAGCTGCTATTAGTTTTCTTTTTTTCTCCCTTCATTAAAATTTTAGTTAACACTCTGCACTTTTTCATATTTTGTTCTCTACTAAAGTTTTCGTTTCTTTTTGTAGAACACAAAATATTTGCGCTGTCGATAAATAGGGTAGTCAGCCCCAGTGAACTTTACAACAACTGTTATGGAGTTAATTGAGTCAGCCCACTTGTATTGTCGAGGCTTTTTTTGTCGCTTTGTTAATTTAGGATGCAAACGACGAAGCTACGATCTGACTACGCTGCATGTTAAAATAGATCATCGGGATCATTGAAAACAACAAAAATATGAAGGTTAATAAAAATATGAAAATATTTTTATTAACAAAAATATGAAGCATTTCAAAACTACGAAAATTTAAAGAAATGTTTCTAAATTTTGGATCTTTTCTTTTATTGGAGGGTTTTTTACCGGATCCACCGGTTTTCCCTCCCATTTCGTTTTGCTTTTGGAAAAAAAACAGTGTCCACATTTGGGGCCAAGCGAAGTCAATTGTCATAACATTACTTATTGTAGCTATCATGAATATTCACTTTTATTTATATTTCTCGGCCTTTGGGTTTCTTTCCCAAAACACTGCGTTTAATAAATATAATGCCTATATTTTGAAAAAAATATGCACGAGAGTTTTGTGCTCAGTCAGATTTTCTAAGACAAATTTTTCTAATCATCTGCATCAACCGACTTAGGGAGAAAATAAAAATGATTTTATACAGTATGGAAGTGTGATTTGCGTACATAATGAAAATTCCATGATTCTTTCATTTCACTAAGGAGACCTTTTTTTATTTAAATATTGCTTTAAACATTAGCAATGTGACGAATTTTTACATTACTCACGGTAATACGCTTAGCACAATCATATTAGCACACACCATTCGACAATTTTCTCCCCCTCCATGAAGGGAGTGTTCAATATGTCGATGGATCGCGAATAGTTCAGAACGATTTATTTTATTTAAGAAAATAAAAGTTTTACATAAGATAGCTCAACAATAATAACCTCACTAGAAATACGTATATAGCACGTTTTGTTCATATCACCATATTTGGTATATGGTCAGCGGCTAGTATATTTAATAAGAATGCTACTATAAATAAACACCAACAGTAAGATGTTTTATGCCTATACCAAATACATTCCCAATGATATAGAGAGAAACGATAACACCAAATACACAGAGATTATTCTTGATAGTAGGTAGTTTGGGATTAAGATTTTTAAACTACCATATGCTTCTCAGCGTCACTGTACATCTGAGACAAGCATTATCTTAATGACTATTTTCATTGCATCCTTTACTGTTGTATCGACAGTGTTTTTTCTCATAGCTAAGTAATTATAATGCGTGCAGTTGATGTTTGAAACATATTCGTAAGTTACAATGGTTTATTTAATAACAAAGGTTTTTTGATAATATGAAGTGACTTGTGCCATAATATCCAAGTATGGAAGTTTTGATTAATGAATTTAAAAAATCCGTTTACAGTTTGCAAAATCGTGTTGTAATCATTGACATCAAAATCCTGTCTTAGATCAGTGATCAAGTATTCCTGAGTTAAAATTTGTGAAACTTTATGAGATTTAGCAGTAATCCTTTGGAATTTGGCTAATCTTAATGTTATTATGTACTCTGCATGCGGCTTTTGTTTATGTATTTTTATTTCTATAACAATTGTTTTTCGTCAGTGATGTATACTTAGTTATATAACTAGAATGTTCTACATAGATGTCATTAATGTTTTATAATACTGTTTGTTAAAAGAGATCCTGACTCACTCTTCATCTTCGTTCGTTATTTAAAAGTGTTTATGTAACAAAACTTGCATGGATAAAAGATTGATGTTACAATAAGGTATGGACTATGATGATCATTTTTTAAACTGATATGTATGTGGTCGCGTTGTTTATATTAAATCTCTCATCTTTTGTTAGGTACGTAACATGTAAAGAACTAAAGCAAGCATAATTTTGTCCAAACGATCGTCGTATATGAAGTCTTATTTCTAAAACAAAGGTAATTTTACGTAACTTAACCGAGATTTTGTATTATATTTCTAACTTAACAATATTTATACTGAAGCATTTCGTAGTATGAAGTATGACTATAAACAAATCAATGTTTATTTCCATTCCAAATGTATATCGTTTGAATGAATCTATATGTGACTTTTAAAGCTATATTTAATACCACGACTGGAAAGTAGGTTGCATTTTTGTTTCAAATTATCCACAATAAAAATTGCGGCTCTTACACGAAGAAAAGATTTGATAATAAATAATTCTGAGTAAGTGTGTGCTTGACATTCACAGATGCCACGTCATAATGTGACATTTCTTTTTAAATATAATTAAACAAATGTAAAGTAAAGATTAGGTTCAAGGGGTCAAAATGAACTCATGATAACGTATATATTTCATCATCAATCATTATTTTTTAATATAATTACACTTTAGTAAACAATACAATGTATAAATGTAAAGTAAAGATTATGTTCAAGTGGTCAAAATGAACGTCAGATAACGTACATATTTCATCATCATTCATTTTGCACGTAATTTATTCTTACATGAACTTTGATTTAGCATGTACACTAAGAAACTGAAATCAAGATACTTGTTTCGTTTTCCAACGTGTCTATCTGTTTAATTACCTAAAATAAATCGTGTAACAACACAAAGTCGAGAAATTTCACTAATGGTCAGGCCAGGCCCGCACTGATGTGATAGGCAATGGGGCATTTTGCCTTGGGCCAGTAATATAATAGGGGCCGGCGCCTCCCCATTTGGACACATGAAAATTGCAAAATTAATGTTTGTAGAAAAAGTAATGAATGATTTGTGTATTATTTGTACTTTTCTTACGTTAACTCATCATGCAGAAGACATTTATCAATTGTAAAGTTTTTAGAAATTCTCGTAGCATCTTCAAACGGAATTACGCTTTGAATGTTATCAAGATGAGCAGGCATGTGGCTAGGCTGTAAAACTTGGGGGAGCAACAACATTTTTTGGGGGGGAGCAGTTGTAGACGTCAAGTTATACTGTATTATAACAATAATATAATTTATCACTTGTTAGTTTTTGTGGGTAGCCGCTGTGCATGCGTGGCTAACCACTATGCCATACTGAAAAAGTGTCTGAATGAGGCAGGCAGTGTTTGTTTGTCGTGATATTCTCGGCTGTGTCATCGGTGATAGTCGCATATGCGAACGATCACGAATAGAATTGTTTTAAGTAAAGTCAATACTTATGTTGTTCTTCAATTACCTATGCTTTAGGGCGTATAATCTGCACTTTGTTTTAGTGACTATAGTCAAAACCTTGCAGCTGAAAATATCATTCATTTATACGCTTTACTGGTGATTACAGACGTCAAATATATCTCGTTTTAGCAAATAATTCAAGGAACTTGATACTATGTGAATTCCGTACTTGTATTTTGTTCTGTATTTTATTCATATGTCGCGTTGTTTATCTCTCACCCTGTGTTCTGTGTTTTGGTGAGGAAAATATATAGCAGATAGGAGATAGTTTTTTTTATTTTCATTTCAATTCGTAATGATGACGATTTGAATTTAACGGATTTTAAAAAATAACGAATTGCAATTTATGATTAGAGTCAAGCTATGGTTCTATGGAGCACTACTGCACTTTAGCGGACACCTTAGACACTGACCCAAACCCTACCGTATAATCCCAAGCAAAAACGAGCCCGCGGTCATAAGCGCTTCGGGTGTCCGCTAAACTGCAGTCTAGCAAAAATTTAAATTGGAACAGAATCATCTGCAATGTAGTCCTATCAAAATGTTAATAAGCAAATATTCATGCAACACAGCAAACCAGTTTGATATATTCTGTTAAAAGAATGACGTATCTCTTTACCACACGATTGTTAGACAAATAAGATATATTATTTATTAACTAGGAGTTACTATCGCAAGGTATATGCTGCCTCTTGCTCCGAGAAGGCGAAAATATTATTATTTTAAGTGTTTTTTCATTGTATCAAACTACTATTTTAAGGCCTTGATCTAAGATCAATTACTGGGTCATGTCACTAGGCAGTAAACACAATTTTTATCGAGAGAAAGAAATGAAGCACACAAGTCTTTATAAATGACTTGTAGTACTATTTTTAATTTATCCTTTTAACTTTTGTATTCATTTTGTACATTTTAAATTATATCATTTTTATCAAACTCATTCCTCATTTCTAGATTAAAAAATGGCTTCGCCACCTAACAAATTAAAGATTCAGGAAAATGGATCTCGTTTGAGTAAATTTTTGATAAATAAAGGAACCCAAGCCTTAAAAACAACATTGCAATTCATTATAAGTCTTCAATCATCAAACTTAAAAGACAAACTTAATGATGCTTTTAACAGAAAGAAATTGGAATCATTAAAAAAGAAAAAGTCATCAATGAAGAGCAATGGGACCTTCTTTATCCTTTATATGGCACACCCGAAATTAGCAACTTTGATATTTCATTATTGACAGTCTTATTGCGTAACATATGTGGTCTAACAGCTCCACATGGTGGATGGGATAATCTTCCTTCCTCTTCCGAAACTTCAATCTCAGCAAATATTGCAAAATTAAAGTTTTATCGAAACAAAGTGTATGGTCACATAACTACAACTAGTGTAGATGACAGTGAGTTTGAGTACTTGTGGCAGGAAATTTCAAAAGCATTGTTTGGTCTGGGTATTCAACAAACTGAAATTGATGAATTAAAGAAAGCTCCCCTCAGTCACGATGAAGTAAATTATATTGAAATGTTAAAAAACTGGTGTACTGTTGCTGAGAAAACAAAAGAAGATGTGGAAGATATAAAAAATGACGTGGAGGAAATTAAAGAAATTGTGTCAACAAAAGCTGATGTAGCTGAAATCACACAAGTTATGGCAACAAAAGCTGATGTAGCTGAAATTACACAAGAGATGGCTACAAAAGCTGATGTAGCTGGAGTAAGAGAATTGATACAGGACAAAATAGGTTCTGATCTTAAGAAGCTTGGAAAGTGTAATTTTAATGGTCTAATAAAAGTTCTTAACAAGAAATACCTTGAAGGCACTAGACAATGGTTATTTGAAAAACTCGACACTTGGTTTAACGATAGAAGTGAAGATGCTTCTAATGTCATGATTTTGATTGCTGGTCCTGGCGTTGGTAAAAGTGTGTTTGCTGCTGATAGGCCGTATTCTGTATCACGAAAATGTGCTTAAAAATGATTTCTAAATGCCAAAATTCATGACTACATAAAAATCACAGAAAACTACTTATTTTTACTGACTGAATATGATTCAAGTTGTTTACATCTCTTGAAATTGCAATCTTTGGTGTTTCAGTACTCCAAAGTTTCATAATATTCGTCTTTACCTGTCGCCATCTTGTTTTGTTTGTGAAACTGATGACAATATAGCAAAAATTGCGGGTGCACTGTTACATGATAGCAACTACTATCATGTAATATCATTTATAAACTACTATTATATTATATTATATTACTAAGCATTCCATATTTTTATATTTTAACTTTAAAATCCATTTTGCAATGTCATTACTAATTAGGACATAATCTAGAAGCTTGCTTACATGCGTAAACATATTTTGAAACCGCAACCGCATTTATTGTTATTGTGGTTAACTATTTAGTGCTGTAACATACTGTATTGCGTATGGGATGTAGGTCACAAAACCACAATACTTCCCATTAGATATTATATATATATGAGTAGTTTACACCACTGAGTACAACCTACGAGAACAACCTACGAGCACAAGCTACGAGGAGATAAACTTAGGAGGCATAGACTACCGTCTACCGAAGTAGTTTGACAAGCTACAATCTACCAGACAACTATCTTGGCATTTATGCCATAACTATCTTTTGGCTTTTGTGCCTTTAATCTATTTGGAAAACTGTTGTGAGTCCTTGTTGGACTCACGAACGCTCAAGAATAAAGACTCACGGTTGTACTCAGACAGAGGAGATAAGTTTTATTCATACTTATTGATATTATAATTAAGACAATTATCCACTTTAATATTTACGCGTTGGTTACTAAATTGTTTGAGAAATATAACTGGTTCACACTATCTTTGTTGCGTGTGGAAATAGAACCAAAATTAATAGTTATTCTTTCGGGACCACGCACGTAACTTGCACAATGATCAAAACAACAAAAAGGCGAGCTTGCGGGGATGTGTAATCAATTTTAAAGGTGAAAATGGGCCATTGACTGATTTTACCGAGACATCTTTGAAAAAAGTGTTACATTGTCACAAGCTTTGGTTACTATACAATGGTGAGCAAAAGGACATCGCTGAAAAGAACAAAAATTTGATGAAAAAAATTCAGTCCATGAAAAGTCCTTTGGCTGAGTACCGTGGAGAGTTAAAGTACCATAGAAATTGCTAGGCAAAGTTCACCAATGTCGGCCTGATTAGACGGGCTGAAAAAAGAATGAGCAAAAAGTTTGAAGCTTCAGCAGCCACTGTCATTGAAAACTATATACAAGAAAATAAGTCGACAGATGTAAATGAGCCTCACACGAAACTGCTACGATCATCCTCGTTTTGTCATGACAGTTCTAAACCTCCGATAAGAACTATAGCAGTTTTGCCATCAATATGCATAATATGCAAGCAAGAAAAGTCCTTCTTCACTCAATCGGTAAATAATGTAACAAATAAACCAATATGTTACAGGTATTCCAATACCTGTTTTGTAACATCATGTTCTGTACTTAATCTACCTACAATATGATTTTACTTTTGTTGTCTTACTGATGGTGAGGAATGTCCAATTTTTCTACAATTTGGTAAAGATCTTTATTTATTGACAAGAGTTCAGCGATAGTTAATGCTTCAAGGTAAATATAAAATATATTTTTGCTTCTATTGTCTTTTTTGCATTTGCTTTGTATTTCTTTCGATCCTAGGTACACTCTCTTTGCATCTGGAAAGTGTTCGGACGAATGCCTTCCCCCGAATGCAGATAGCATGCTTTTGCACATTAAGAGAGCCAACTACCAAGCAGCCATCTGGAAGAATAGTTTTCAATCGCACGTTAATGTTCAACCTCCTGTGAGCCATGGATGGCACATGAAAAATGGTCAGTTAGAGATTCTTTGGATGACTGGACCATCTGCTCCAGATACACTTATTGAGTGCGTGACATGCAAGTGTAAAGCTGGTTGCAAGAATCTTCGATGCTCGTGCGTGAAGTCTGGTTTGCAATGTACTGACATTTGCGGTTGTTCTGACTGCAGTAACTACGCCTCTGAAGATGACGGCCCAATGAAAGAGCCGGATGAGTGCGATGATAGCGATTACGATGATGCCGACGAAACACATGAAAACTTCATAAACGATTTCAATGAAATGTTCTATTAAGAATGCACTGCTCAGCAGTGTGTACAGCAGGAGCTAGATGGCGACCAAAGGATTCTGAGTACGCAATCTCATGTGCCAATTTATTATCGTTATATTATTTATACAAAAAGATGAAGGACTCTTTCGCAATTCAATTTCAAGAATTGTTTTTTCATTTTTTAGTCTTTTTGTCCATCAAGCAGCTATGAAAGATTAATAGCTAAACATATCATTTCAAATTAACTTAGAAAGATTGATCCTTAATCATTATTTAGCACCGTTCTTTTGAATATGAGCCAGCAAATTTAGCGAATTTCACACAAAACAATATGGCGGATATAGAAAATAAATGTCGAATTTTTGATGGCTCTAGCTCTCTTGATTGCAAGTTTTCGGGATGTAAACAGGCAGATTTATGTTAAGTGAGTACATATCAGTACATCTATGTTGTTTTTACTTAGTCATGAATTTCTGCATCTCAACCTGAACAATAATCCACCATAGAATACGGCCTATGAGGTGTGTCGACGATATTCTGAAGAGAAGAAACTTGCTGCTTGTCATTTCTGCAGATATAATATATCAGATTATAGAAATCCTCGAATATTGATAGAATCATTGGCCTGTAGCATGTGTGATACAATATTTGATTTTAAATGTAAACTGAATGAAGAATTACAGAGAAATCATTCCTACGAATCAGTCACCGATGCATTCCGTGTTTTATTAAATAATCCATTGCATTCATTGGAAGATCATGAACCAATGCTTTTGATTATTGATGCATTAGATGAAAGCCAAGTTGATGGCAAAAGAGAATTGTTGGAATTGATTGCAGAAGAGTTTGACCGACTGCCTAAATGGATTAAAATCTTTATCACCAGTCGTCCAGAACTTCCTGTTCAAAAGGAGTTGAAAGACATGAATCCTGTGGAAATTACAACTCGTCCTCGTGATGAAAACAACGAAGAAGACCTGTACAAGTATTTGAGACATCAGTTGAATGATCAGGTGCAGGAAAATCGCAATATTCCATATTTATTAGTTACAAAATGTGAGGGATAATTTCTTTACGCGTATCACGCACAACTGTGCTTGAAAGAAAAAAATATTGAGCTTACTTACGAAAACATTCAAGAATTGTTCCCTAGTGGGTTAAGCGGTGTTTACACAAAGCAATTCAAAAGAGTAAAAGAATTGTTAACGAAGGAAAGTCCCATAAATTCTGTTATCTCAGAAACTACTTTCATGCAATTTCTTGAATTGTTGGCTGCCTGTCAGGAGTTTTTACCATTAACTTTAATGCTTAGCTATTTAGGTTTTTCTGGTGACATTAAGTTTGAAGTCAACCGTAAAATTATTCAACCGTTATCTCAAATTTTGCCAGTTTACGATGATTGTTTAACCGTGTATCACAAATCTCTAATTGATTGGTTGAAATCAGATGGTTACGAACGGCATGAGTTTACAGTTAATCCAAAAAATGGTCATAAGTTCTTATGGCATGCTTGTGAGAAAATGTTTGAACAAATTAAGTCGATGAACATTTTTGAAGATAAGATGAACACTGCTATGATTAAATATGCTTTGAAGAATGGTATCTATCATATGTCAAAATGTGACGAAAATGTTGACTTTAGCTGGGCAGTAGATATCAAAGTGGTTTATGCAAGGTTAATGGTTGTAGGATTTACTGGCATTCGATACATTCGAAACAATTTTTTTGAAATCATTAAGGAACGACGAACTTTCTTGAAAAAAGATGTACTTGAGGAAGTACGATTTCATTTGCGCATGCTCAATTTTTCTCTCTTTTACGGTGATTTTTATCTACTTTATTTACAAATTATTGCAAATAGAATTCATGGTAGTAACGAAAAAAGATTATTGGCAAGGGATTTATTAAAACAAGGAAAGCTTATTTGGTTTGAGGATTTAGACTCAACATATTTAACAAACCATCATCATTTGACTGTCTCCTTGCTTGCTAACGTTACATCTCTTTGTGTGTCGTCCAATGAAGAACTTCTTGCTTTAGGATATAAAAACGGTAAAATATCTATTTTTGAACTTCCAGAATTTGAATTACGATGCACTCTAGGCACTTCACTGGATGATTCAAGGTTGGATAAGTGGGATGAAAACACATTTATGTCCCGGTATGACTTCTATGACAATTCAACATCAAAGAAAATTGATCTTGTACAAGGAAACATATTTTGTTGCTCCTTTTCACCTACCGGAAGTAGACTGGTAACTAGTGATGGATCTACGGAAGTAAAGTTATGGGATGTTAACAATGGACGTTTGTTATTATGTTTACAGTCAGATGATGTCGTTAATCGTTGCTCTTTCTCAGATTCTGGTTTGTTTATTACAGCAAGATGTGATGGAATTTCTTCTAAAGATGTGTTCACTGCATGGAGTTTATTAACTTTGCAAAGAATCGATCGACGCTGTGTTGTTGATTACCAAAAACTAAAATACACCGATAAATATTCAGAGTTCTTTGGTGCAGAATTCGTCGAGACTTCATATGTTTTTCAATTCCCAAAGGCAATCGATATTTTTTCAACTAAAAAAAAAAATGCACTACCTTTACATTTAACGATAACACACCATTATCGTGATTGTATTTTTTATCATACAAAACAGAATGAAAAGCTTTCTGAAATCACTCAGTTGACAAAATACACCGATCAAGGAGAAATTGTTTTTCATATACCAAATAATAGATGTCCATGTTTTTTGAGGAATCTTAAAAAAGTCCATCCAATCTCGTTTAAGGAATTTTACGTTGTGCCGTATTTTCCCAAGCTAACAATTTTCAAAACTGATCATCTTTGGAGACCTTCATTTATCTTTGAGAAATTTAGAATTAAATGTTGTTGTTTTTCACCGGATGGATCTTTTTTTGCTGCTTTCGCTGTTGGTGACCACGTCAACATTGATATTTGGAGCATTGAACTTTGCACTATTATTCAAACTGTACCAATGCAACTGAAGAATGCATTAGGATGTTGGTGGTCGGATGGTGTACTGTGGATATGGGATGGTTCTGATCATCTTATGAAGATATCAACTTCGTCTGAAAATTTTGTAGATTCTACTCAATTAAAGCCTGTTAACATTGGATTTAAACCTAAAAAAGTCTTAACATTTGGTGATGTCTTAGTTTGTATTGACGAAAAAAAGTTTATTCAAGTTGTTAGAATTACCAAAGGTAAGATACAATACAACAGAAGACTTCCTGTCGATAGTTCAAAAGTTGAAGCAGCCACTGTGTCACCTGATAATTCTGTTATTTTAACTGTAAACAAAACAGATTACACATTATGGAAATGGGGAAATAACAACAATGAACTTTACTTGAAACCTTGGCATACTGCACAAATACCCATACCGTATTTTATTGAAAAATTTGTTCAGGAACAGAAAATTGTAACTTGTCTTAAAGTCCGTTGCTCTATAAGTGATAGTAACCAAGCGGTCATTGCATTCTCTTTTCAAGACGACAATTTCAAACAGAGAACTGGCATTTATGTAGTTAATATGCATAAAAACAATGAAGTGAGTACGATTTTGCATAGTATCGTTAGGTTTTTATGGTCTAGCACAATCGTACATAAATCATATTTCATTGGTGAATCTTTTGGCGCATTGTTTGCTGTGGATTTAAAGAGTGGTGAAATATGCACTAAATTTGACGAAAAAGATCATTTAATGTCTATTGTAACCATGCATTCCAACACAGATACTATAGCTCTTGTGTCACGTGAGGGATACGGAATTAAATTTTTAAAACTCAATGTTCCTGAATAAATCCACTAAAACAATCTTTGTAGTAATATTAACCTATCGTATTTACTAACATTACTTATCACTTAAAACGAACATAAAAAGTTCTTTGTATCACAAATGGACAGTTATTTATGGTATCAACTACGAACTCAAAAATATTGTAGACAAAACTGTCCATATCCTTTACTTTGACCGTGGAAAAGCTGTCAGTTTTTAATTATGTAAAAATATCACAGACAAAGAGAGAGACACAAGATGTTGATTGTCGTGAGGATAGTCGCTTGTTTTACATGTGAAAATTACCAAAAGTGAGAAACCTTTGATCTCTGAACGAACTTTATGTTGATGGTTTACTTTTTAATACAAATGTATGGTCAGATAATTTGGTTATTTTTATTATATATTAAACGTTCACTACATAGAAATGAAAGAATGTCGACAACTCATTCATTGTGAGTCATTTGACAATATGGTGTTGTTGTAGAAGAAGATTGTTTTGTTTAAATTAGAGAGGGACTTTCTTTGAACATTCTTTCAAAAACTGTAAATAAAATATTACCTTACGCATGTTAATATCGTGGAAACAAGTTTTGTATGATGTTAAAAATTTGCATTTATAAAATACCATCATGATGTCATGTCATGTCATTGGGTTTTATGGTCATTATGTGAGAGATCCTTTTTGTACGTTTATTATGTACATATGACCTTAAAATAAGTTGGTTGACATAAGTTCATTTGAATTAAGAAATTAAATTTTTTTTAAAAACTTTACTTTCTGTTTTCAATTTTTAAAATTAAATTTGTCATTATAATGATGATATTACAGCGTAAAATATACAGCTACAGTTTTAACTTGTAACAATTGTAAACAAAACAAGAAACATCTTATTGATGTTTTTATTGTGCTTTATACACTTCAACGCAACAGATTTTTGTTGTTCTAAGTTTGGGTCATCTTATGAAAAAATAGATACGATGGCGTACATTTTGTTGTCTTTTAACGAATAATAAACAACTAAGCTAAACATTGTTGTTTTTCAAGATAAACATGTTTCAACATCTCGTGATGTCATCTTCAGTATTAGTGACAATATTATATATATGATACAACATATATGGTAGTAATGTGATACAGTGATAGTTTATTTAGTAGATTATATACAGTAAGATATTGACATGAATTAATGATAAATGTGTTTACAAGTTCTTCTCTAATTTAAAATTTTTAAATCTTAGGTTTTTAAGTTTTTCTTACTTTAAAAAAGGGGAGGGATAACTAAGGACAGAGTAAAAAAAATTAGGGCAACATCTCGAGCAGGTGCAACTCTCAACCTTCGGTCTCCGGCTTACACTGATCTGCTTTTGAGTTCTCCCAAAGCTCTCCTCGGTTTGCATAAGTCTTTGTAAAAAACATGAAACATCTTTTATTTCTTAATTGCAAGATCATGTTACATTGAGTCTTCATTTGACAAAATTTAAGGCTTTGGCTGCGTTTACACTATATACCAGATTTGCTCATCAAGATATCTTCATTTGGTTTCAAGAGGTAACAGTTTGGAGTAAATGCTTATTGAGTTGATAGATTTTAGTCAATTTAATTGTGTTTTTTTTGCATTTAACGATATCACTGACTTTTAATACATAGAAAATTTAACCTGCAACGATAGCAATTCTATACAGTAAACAGGGCCTTATTTTAGTTCACAAATATAAAGTTCGATGTTTAAAACGGGCGTAAAAATTTTGTTCGAAGACGTTAGAGGATTAATTATTGTATGCTTGAAAGGTCATATGCACCTCAAGCCAATAAAAATAAAAAAATTTATCGTGACGTCAATTTCAGAAGTGTTAAAGTATTTAAATTCGTATGTGTTTTCTTTAACGTGTCAGTCAAGTCGCTTTAACTTTATAGAGAGGAAATTTAAGCATTTTGTATTTACTGACGAACAGGCGAAGTAAGAAATATATGGAAAAAATTAACAGGTCTTGTTAAAACCTTCGTAATGTGAAGAATTTTACTATTCGCGACTAAAAAGGTTAAATTTAGAGTTGGAAATATGTTCAGAAAGGATGTCCATGACGTCAGTACTGTATTGGTTAAATATGGAGGTTACACCATAAATGGAATAATAAAAAATTATTAAAAGAACATTGTATAACATGTATGAACATTTATGTTGGACTATGAAGACTGACAACATTTTACAAAGATAAAAAGAGGCAAGTGCAAAAGAGGAGAATGGAAGAATATGGTTTTATACTTCGTAATTAGAGTTGATATTTCCATAATTTCTTAAAAGCACGATGGATATCAGACATTTTAAATGAACGACGAGTTTTTTTAACGTAAACATGTTTCGGCATGCTTATGCCATCTTCAGTACATCGAATGAAGGTGATTAGCTATTTACAGGATATATATATATGTGTGTATGTGACTATCGTTAAGTGTATTAAATTACAAAATTAGTGTTAGATATTATATTACAGGTTAAATATAGTATTGATGTGATATATTTGTTTGTTGAGGTCTGGTTTGAGTTTTTTGATGTATAGCGCTTCTTTCAGTTTAAGAGAAAAAGGAGAGTTAGCAAAATTAGAGTTGACAAGTTTTAAATTTTGTTTGCATGAGTATGAGGTTATTATGAAGGATCACCGTGGTCTATTTTTACAATTTGAAAATAAATAAAAAATCATCTTTAAACTAGGATTTTGTGATTAATTTAACCTAGTGCAGAGAAGCCTATACCTCATCAAAGGAGCCTTTGTTAAAATATATTATATGTTCTATTACATGAAGTACATCAACTCAATGTTTCCTGTTTCTAGTTTGTTATTTGCATTTTTATTTGAGGGAGAAACTTTTCCTTCTTGTTTCAATGTAATAAATCATATTTAATCATTTCTACTTTGCTTGAAGTTTTCTCTTATGCCAAAGAAGACAAGTACCTCCAAAGTTTGAACGCTTCTACCAAGGTATTTATATAAACAACTAATATTTGAAATACCATCGATCAATTTTCTATAAAAGCGATTGTGTTAAGTAGCGTAGTCAGTTCTCAAGTTTAGCCACGCTATGAAAATTTCGGAACTTTATGATCATTTATTTCTTTGGAAACCTTTTGTTTTCATTGAGAGTCTTTCACTGATCATCAGAAAGTTTAATAAAATCAATTGTGTTTTTTGTACACCGTGAATGTTTAACGACATCAAAACTCAATGTTCTAAAGCTATTCATCCGACATCACTATTTACTTAATAAAAACTTAAACAGAGAATATTGTTATAGTTCATAGCTCGACAAAATAATGCGAACGTGGTATCATCGACATTCATTCATTGTCATTGATAACTCGTAGCAAAATTCTTTCATTTTCCTTATTTTGGTCGTACAGTTTGTGTAAATTTTTGTGAACTCTTCGAGAGTGTAGCTTTTAATTAATTCTTTGCATAGCCATAGTTTATCGCTAGTTTTGAAAGTATAACTGAGTTGATATTACTTTAATTACCTTGTTGAATTTTTGTTGTAAATTTTTCATGTGAGATTCCAAATTTTGCTAAAAAGCAATTGTTTTGTGCATATGAACACCTTCACTGCGCCATTCATATAAATACAAAAACAAATAGTTCACCTTAGATAATAAACTCAAAAGAACATATAAAGTGTGAATGGACTATTAAACAGACAGTTGTAACATTTTGAAAGATCCAAAACAATCTTTGATAATTTTCTTTCCTCCACATATGTATAGTCTTGTAGTAACAATGGAAGTATTAAATGGCCGTAGGATATTTAGTTGTATTTAAGAAGTTGATATTGTCATATTTTTGTAATGTACCAGAGTCAAGAAATATTAAATTTCATGATGCCTATTTTGTATTATTTTCTGATCAAAATAGTGCAAGCTGATTGATGAAGGGTAAGTATACTTGTTAGCAAAATATTTTTTTACATAAAATTCTTTGTAGTATAACATTTCTTTTACCGTTAATACAATACAAATAGTAGAGTAATTTGATATGGATATGGTTTCAAATTCCATTTCATTGATGTAGACATAGTTTTAAACTTATGTCATAAGTAATAAATCACTGGAAAATACTAAAAGACATGAATACAAACTCAAATCTGTATTTTACTGTACATATTATCAATGCATTATTTGATAATGAAGTGCATTTGAAAACATTTTCTTGTCTGCATTCTCACATATCCAAACTCTAAATATATAGTTTATTTATCTGTTCTAATTTGTCATGTAAAATTTTAAATTTTAAAGATGGCATTCATATCAGTAGCCATATGGTCTGTACTAATATATAATTGTTTGGTTGTAATAAAGTGAATGATTTAAACCTGGGAGTATTGTTACATGTTTGTAGATGTAGATTGTTCAGATTTGTGCAGTCATGAGAAGGATTGTTGTTGTTGATGTTAATTGATGTTTTGTAATTCTTAGTGGTAGTCATCTCCAGAATAAAGTGAGGATTAAAAGTCAGGTTTTCCATATTTGTTGTCAGGTTCATACGCCATCATATATTGTGTGTACAGGAAATTTATCTGTGTGTGAATGTCAATTGTGTATTGTCATCATGGATTAGTCCAAAGTAATGTTTTTGTTGCTCATTTTTTCATGTTATTGCTGCCACCCTGGGACATAATCATGACATTACTGGACCCAGTCCTTCTGCCAGTCTATATCGAGGTGAAATCTCAATTTGTTTCTGTCTGTTGGTTTCTTTTTTCTCCAACGGGGGGGGGATTTTTATGGAATGAGGGGGAGCATAAAATCACAACAAAGTAGAACCTTTGGAAATATTTGAGATATTTTGTTCGTATTTTTACTTTTATTTAAGGTTTGAGAAATTGGAGATAAACTGTCGACATGATTACCATTCTATACAAAATTCTTTCAAACATGGTAATCCTCCTTGTTATCATTATGAAAACAGAACATTTCATAACGTCAGGTGATTATTATCTTACTGTGTTTATTTTAAACTTTAAAAACCATGGAGTGAATGTATTTTCTCTTTTCTCTTATTTTGAGTGGATTTTGAATAAATTTCGAACTAGAAATAGCGTTTTACTTTCTGCTCTTAATGTCAATTGAGATTTCATAATTTGGCGTAATTTCTTTCAGTGTTGGACACTGTGGGGTGGGGTTAGGATAAATAGGGTTTTGATAATACTTAAGGTGAGGGATTTGTTAGGGTGAGGAAGAAGAAGAGTCATGGTGATGGTGTGCAACGCTTTTTCACCTATCTAAACCCTGTGTAACCCTTTCTTACCTGTTTATTTACACCATATGCAACCCTGTGCAACGCTTTCTCACCCATCTAAACCCTGTGCAACCCTTTCTTACCTATTTATTTAAACCCTGTGCAACGCTTTCTCACCTATCTAAACCCTGTGTAACCCTTTCTCACCTATGTATTTAAACCTTACCGTACCGACCTCGAGTGGCAAGTTGACTTGACTCGCGAGTATCGAATGGCGAGTCAAAGGCGAGTCAATCTCGAGTGTGAGAAGTTTGCGAGTGAATAAGAGGCGTACTGTTTGCGAGTGAATCGAAATAACTCGCAAAAGTTTCTTTCTCCAGTATTTGAAATTGACAAACATAATCTTAAGTGTAGTGACAAGTAAAATCACACCATCCCATTCATTTTTGTCGACGTGAAGTCAATGAAATTGTTTCAGAAACCAATCTCATATTTGAAACATTTCTACTGGCAAGTGAATCGCAAAAGTTCTAGCCATTTACTATACACGTGGTCTTATATCGTTCTTGCTATTAAATGTCTATGGCCTTTATATCAATAGCGACTACATCCAAAACTCCAGGTCAACGAAGTTCTTTCAGTACCGAATTCAAAAGATTATACGTACACTCATCGCATAGCTACATTCCTTAAATATTTGGCTTTAAAGAAAATTCGTTTTTTTAATGCATTCTTTCCTAAGATTATATATGTCCATAATCTAAGACAGTTAGAAGAAAATGTTTGAGCGCTATTTCCATTTATTCATTGATTGCGTGACATTTACTTTACATTTCTCTATGGTCTCTACCGCTTTACGAATAACGTTTGTGCCATGAAAAATGTGAAGTGATTAAAATGCTTTTGTAAAAAATTCAAAAGATTTTAACGTCATTAGGTCCCGAGATATTGCTTCAAATGAATAGTCGTTTTGCTCCCATGTTTCATAAAAAGATATAAAACCGTTGCCTTCAAAATGTTCAACGAATTTTACTTGTCACTACACTTAAGATTATGTTTGTCAATTTCAAATACTGGAGAAAAAAATTTTTACGAGTTATTTAAATTCACTAGCAAACTTCTCACATTCGAGAGTAACTCGCAACTGCATCGCGTGTCACTCGCTCAATCGCAACTCGTCACTCTCGAGTGACTCGCAACTGCATCGCGTGTCACTCACTCAATCGCAACTCGTCACTCTCGAGTGACTTGCAAATGCATCGCGTGTCACTCACTCAATCGCAACTCGTCACTCTCGAGTGACTCGCAACTGCATCGCGTGTCACTCACTCAATCGCAACTCGTCTCTCGCAACCTCATCGCGTGTCACTCGCCGACACCCCGAGTCAAGTCATGCTACTTTTGTAACCCTTTCTCACCTATCAAACCCTGGGCAACCCTTTCTCGCCTATCTAAACCCTGTGCAACTCTTTCTTACCTACTTAAACCATTAACACCCCAACATTAAGTTCACAAATAATAATGTTCTAACATTTGGTTAGAGTGACTAAATTCGAAGACTGACTACGCTACTGTATGTAAAGTTAGTTTTATTTGTTGCTTTTACTGCAGTAATTTCACAAACACCTTTAACTAACAAACACTAACATAATTATTTTATGTTTATTTTATTTTCAACCTGACAGATCGAATACAGATTTGGGTGACCAGGATTGTGAATTAAGAATCGTCAAATGCATCAATATTTCACTTCCTTCAGGTAAATATGTCTTTTCTTCTTTATTGTTGAATTGGATTAAAATCTTTGTGCTTAAGGATTTAGGATAAAATATAGTGGAATTATAAGGTGTCTAGAGGATTAATAAGGTGTCTAGAGGATTAATACGTGTCAGGTCAAACAATGGATGTTTGATCTGATACATACATCTATAAACCTTGAAAATCAATCTTTAAAAAATTTCAATATACTTCAAGGTTACAACAAAGACGATATGAAAGTGTATGTGTCCTATGAATTTCCCTTTCCAAACGTAAGTTGGCTTATGTTTCATTTAAGAAAAAAAAGATGTGTTTACACAGGCTTATGCAAACCAAGTAGACCTTTGAGAGCAGATCAGTGCAAGCCTGAGACCGATGGTCGAGGGTTGCACAAGCTCGAGAGTTCTCACAAACGTCTCCGAGGTTTGCATAAGCTTGTGAAAACACGAAAAACATCTTTTATTTCTTTTATAAAGTAACAATAATGCGAAAAAGACAAACATTTTAATTTTTCCTCAAAATGATCATTTGCAAATTCTTTTTGACTGATTGATTGTTTTGATTGATTTGATTGGTTGAGCTCAGATGTGTTTTGCACAGGTTAATGCAAACACGGCTCTAGACCAATCAGCGCACTTGTTTCATTGTGTTTATTTTATAAAAAAAATCACATTCACACTACAATGATTCACCAACATGACTGTGAATTGACATATTTGTATGATTAGACTCAACGCAAGAGCGTGCAATTGTGACAAACAATGGAAGCATTGTTAACAATTTTGTTAGACAATGAAATCATTGTTCAAGCAGTTGTTCTCATTACCGTTGAACAAATTCTATGTTTTGCAAACGACAGATTTTGTAACAAACACTTTCTTGTCATGTAACAAACACTTTCTTACTTTTTATTAAATCAATGTTATTTGTCTACACTAAATTTTAAAAATACTCAACTTTAGGATCAACCTCAAACTGGCTTCACGGAAACCATCAAACACAACATTAATCCTGGTAAGTTTTATTTGATATCGTACAGCCTTGGACCCCTTTATGATCTTGTATTGAGGGGTGAGTGAGGACTGGGGAGGAGCTGCTTTACTATGGACCATTGAACTAAAATACGTAGAACGCTACCTCAAGCAAATAATTGAAGCCATATCTTACGCCAGACACGCGAGATTTTACCCTAGACACGCGTGTTTAGTGTTTCGAGTTTCTCTCGCGGAGTAATAATTGATTGACTACACACGCGTGTCTGGGGTAAAATTTGGCTTCAAAAAATTATTAGGGTTTTGTATTACAGGTAGCGTTCCATGTATTTTAGTGCAATGCTATAGACAGAATGGTCGTCTTACTTAAGTACTCATGACGTCATTAATATCTTATGTTGTTGTTATTGGAGTGGCAAGGGAGACTGGGGAGAAATATTTTTACAAGAGACAGAATGGTCGTTTTACTTCAGTTCTTGAGACGTCAATAATATCCAATGTTGTGGTTGTAAGCTTTTTTGATATGCTAGAACCTTCCCTCTTCATTAAATTCATTATTCTACATCGATGATCAATTACGCTGTTTTTTCGTATAGAATTTGATCAAAAGTTTAAGATATCTATCGACAGAAAAAACAGATCGTTGGCGAGAATATTTCGACAACAAAGTGTGAAATTTGAAATAAAATACAACAGGTTTGTCGTACGTGAGATGGATGTTTCATTGTTTTACATTATGTGAAATATTTTTTATCGTCAGTAAATGTTCAAACCATTTAGAGGATTTCGGAAAGGTGACAAGACGCTGGGTCAAACTTCTCTTAAGTTATCACCGTTTGATAATAGATGTGAAATTCACGATGTCTTAATGTAAGTAATGTGTGGTATTTTTTTTAACTTTATGAATTAATAATTGCAGAAACTGTGTTTAAATCATTGAACTATATATAACTGGACGGCCACCCACCCGCTAAAATTTGAAGACAACATTTCGGTAAGCTAAAATGCCGAACTATACGCGTTTAATATAAGCTTTGTACAAATATAGGCATGTTTACCCAATGTAGCATTTCAGACTTCACCATCTTCTTAATGTCTGCCACGTGATCTGTAAAGGCAGAAAAAAGACTGGAACTAGTTTTCCAGTTAGACCTCCATTATTTGATAAACACATCATACTTAATGTCACTTAAAATACATGTTATCTTGATTTAAAATTTACGTACGTAAGAACGATTGCTGCCGTAAGTGGACTTAATTACAATTGCAGCTTATGGATCCCGAGAAAGGTCGCAAGGCGATTGGTGGAAAGATTGAAGTCAAATTACGTATTCGTGAACCTCTGACAGATAAAGATGTTGAAATCTTGACGCAAAAATGGTTGGTCATAGATGCATTTGTAGCACCAACAAATAGAGTGAGTATATAAAGTTAAGTTGTGTATAAATATAGTTTTCACAGGATTGTGTTTGTTGCATTGAACTAAAATACATGGAACGTTACCTGAAGCAAATAATTGAAGTCAAATCTTACACCCAGACACGCGAGATTACACCCAGACACGCGTGTGTAGTGTTTCGAGATTCTGAAAATTGATTGTCAACACATGCGTGTCTGGGTGTAAAATTTAGCTCCAAGAATTTATTAGACTATTCTATTACAGGTAGCGTTCCAGATGTATTTTAGTTCAATGGCTTATAGCTCGAAACCATGATTACGTTACACTGAATAGTGGATTTTTTAAACTTATTAAAATGTTATACGTACTGTATGCAACAATGGAACTGTCTTATTTTGAAATGGACGTTTTAGTTTATCTATAAAACATTTGAAGTACATGAGCTATACTATAGATAAATATATATTCTGGATACAGAAACTCAAGAACATTTTTTCCTTTCCATATAACTGAGTCACATGTCTCCTCATTCTCTCCCCTCCTTCGTATTTCGTTAAATGTTCACCGTTGCGTATTGGCTGTTATAAAATAGTTTGCAATTGGTTGTCTTTCTTAATTTTTTAGCCAATCAGTGCTTCGTCAACATGTAAGGTATAAATCCTTTGATATGTATAATATATGGATAGCGCACCATGTATAAAATATAGGAAAATTGAAACCGGAAATGTGCGCATTTGCTTATGACCTTCGTGGGGGGGCTGTAGGACCCACTTTACTATACATTTGTAGTAGAAAATCACAGTTTTTGCGTTTTTATTCCTTTTACAAAGCATTGATTCCAGCAAAATTTTTATCAATTGGACAGGAAGATCGATAGAGAATTTCAACTCCTTAAGTTATGTTTTGTCGGCTCGTACAAGCTTATACATCCCATTTTCAGTAGCTATGCATGAACACGAATCAGATCTGATTTTTTCACTAGAAGTATCACTTCATGTTTTTTAAATGTCAAAGATCAACAAAAGCGATAGGAAACATATAAAGCGCATTAAAGCAGAAAATGATCACATCGTCAATATATATTTAAAGAAATGTGGGGCATACACTCTGCACAACTTCACGTTAAATTTTTAACAATGAATACTATCCATATATTATACATATCAATGTATCAATCAGTTAATGGCAAAATGTTTTCTATCTTCCTTTTTTCTTTGAAAGATCTGCGTCTTTATGTGTTAATAATTTACTATTTTTAAACTCGGACTGCTTTTAAAATGATTCAAAAATGTTTTCTTTTTACAGCTTAAAAATCCAGAAAATGGCAGAAAAGCAAAGAATTGAAACCAGTAAGTATATTATCTATTATTTTAGGCACTATATGTTACCAAGTAATTACAGAAATAATCTAAATTTTTTATGAATAAATAAAATTTTTAATACAACGTTAAATTTTAAAGTAAACTATAATACAACTAAACATAAATTTTCTTCTCACATTTTCTTTTTAGAACTAAAGTTTGTACGATTGAATAAAGATGCTCTTTAAAATTAATATATTTCAATAATATGAACAAAATGTAAAAATCTTCTAATTTAGACTTTTTATATTTTGATATTTATTACGATATTTATTTCGTGTCATTTCAACATTAACTTTCATAAATGAAATTGTCGAATATTTATCTGGATTATTTCCTCGTAACTAATTTAAAATCCACAACATAAATAACTCGTGATTTTGTAATATGCTCTAAAGTAGTTAAGACAGTCTAAGGTTTAGTTCAAACGTCCAACTTTACATCAGCCGAACGTATTTAAAACAAAAAATAATGAGGAAGTTCATCTCATTTTCTTTCGTCTTTAAGGCGTTTGGTTTATGTAAAGTTCTACCTTTGAAACAGGTCTTAAGTTCATTATACTTTTAGTAATATCATAGTCTTAACTCGCGGCTGTTTACAATATAACACTATATACAAATAGAGATATAAAAGGATGTATAACTCAATTTTTTTAACATGCCTTCAACACGCTGTGTCGTGCAAGATTGCAGTAATAAGTCTGATAGAAGTACAGGCATTTCATTATATAAAAGCCCGAACGACGAGTCTTTGATAAGAATTTGGGTTAAATTTGTTCAGACGAAGCGCGCAAACTTTAATCCGAGTTCGCGCGAAATTCGATTTATGATTTGTTCGAATCACTTCTCGGATGATTGTTTTGAGCGTTTATTCCATTTGTGTAGTATGACTAGACGGCTCAAATCTGGTGCCGTACCTACTATTTGGAAGAAATCACAAACACCAACAAAGTCAAGAGAGCGGCGTCAGGTTAGCACAAGTTGCAATTATTATATACTTACACATATAAGGTTTTAAAGGAAATACAAAATGAAGTGTCTGTATCATGCGATGACCTTTGGTCTTTAAACCTAACGAAGCTGCTTGAAGAACAAATTCGTTCAGGCAAACTTCGTTAAAGCCAGGGTGATCCAAAATGCATTTCCTTTCATCGACTTCGAACTGATACATTTTACCACGGCATTGCTCTATTTCCATGCAGCATCGGCACTCTTGAGGGTTGACAACAAGATCCAACGAACAGTGGCCACATTCACACCTTTAATATTGGCCAAATTGTATGTTTCCATAAAGTTCTCATAGCTAACGGCAGACGATTCAAATCAAAGTAACACACTAAGAATGCCATCTTACCATGAAGTAACATCAACACGGGCATCAAAACGATCTTGCAGCATGTCTTCAACCCGCCTTTCTTCTGCGACTGCAGCTTCGTACTCAGCAATTTCATCGAGCGAAGCAAGCGGTTCAATATTATCAACAAATGGCAAAATTTCCGAATTAGATTCGTTCGAATTTGCCGTCACAAATTCAGATGAAGAAATCGATGCGTTTGTCTCGATCGAAGACTCAGAAAGCGAGCTAGATCTCGATGAATTTGACATTTTTTTGCTCTATTTATGTATTACTTTGTATACTTTCCAATGTGCGCTTCTTGCCGTGTTAAGACTATGACGTCACTGACCTTTGCTGATTGCAAATATTCAAAATGGCCGATTTTAATGGCGGACATGAAAATTAGACATTTCAAATGTTCATAACTCCCTCGTTATATTATTATTTTTGCTTACATTTTACGAAAGCAATAATTGATATGTGTTTAAACTATCGAATGCTAAAATCGATGATTTTTTAACGTTAAGTTTTCGTCATAGAACCACTTTAAGAAATAAAAGATGTTTATTGTGGAAATGTTAAAACCGAGGAGTCCTTTGGGAGTACTCGAAAGCAGATCAGAGCAAAAACATATTTATATCTCTTTTATAAAATAACAATAATTTAATAAAGATAAATTCAAAGCAAAGGTTTTAATATTTCCTCTAACATGTATTCATGATTGATTAGCAAATACTCTTTGATTGATTTAATTGATGAGGCGCAGCTATCAACCAATCAACGCAGGCGTTTTATTGTTTTTATGCAAATTAAAGTTGTTAGTTGTCATTCGGGGAAGAAAAGAATACGAACTTGATTTAGTTCTTCCACTGTTATATTAAAGTGAAATGAATAAGGAGTGTTTCGAGGAGAACACACTGAAAACTAAGATGGAAACCATTATGATGTAATTTATTATTATAGAATATAAGATTTCTAGTTGAATTTTCAGGCTTGCATTAGCTAGTTCTTGTGGAAACGACCGCATGTAGTGCTCCTGTCATTACGAATAATTTATGTATGTAAAAGTTTTATCGTGACTTGACATTCTTCACTTGCAGACTATTTAAGTTTTATAAGATATGCTAATTCTATATGTCAAGGAAATGCTAAATACAAACGAGAGGACGTAATTTCGGAGAGTTTAGATCAAATGGGTGAACTACAAATGTAAAAACAGCTGTCCATTTATTGAAATCCACTGTTTTTCATTAAAAATTTTTCTTGCATGGTAGCAACAGTTGCTAGTGGCATAACTAAATATTCGCCAACGAATAAGATTCGTTCAATTTCATCAACATTCCTTCTATCTTAGCAACCTGCAGTGTTTGACTGCGACTCTACGTCTGCTATGATAAGGAGCTTCACAAATTCTAAAAGCAATCACATTGAAGCAGATAGCAGAATTTTTCTCAAGACTTTTTAGGGACTATTGGCAAATTTCTGATTTAAACAAGTTCGTCACTCCTCTCGACACAGGTACGTCTGATTTACACGAATTTTGCCATATATAAGTAGAGACGTTTGTTCAAAGAACAAATTTTTTAATTGTTTGGTTTCTGATGTCTGATAAAATGACAAACAAAGCGTTCAAAAATATACTGGCGATATTGCCAAAGTGATTCTTGTTGCTCTTATGATAGCTACTAAGTTCGTCTATTCTCACAGGATAAGATTCGTACCGGTTTAAATGTCACTATTTTCAGACATGGGATTTCTAGAGAAAAACTGCTTTGATGTGAGTCATAACAGGTCCCTGTTAGTGTTATATATTTTCTATTAACCGAAACTTGTACTTAACCTTCTAAGGGCCATATGTAGTGAAATGCATCATAATTTAACTACTCCATGCGGTCTACGTTAAAGAACTCGAGATTGACAAAGTTTTAGGCGGACACTCATAATGTGTTTAGCATCGTGTTGTGACTCTCTTGGGGCCAGATGTTTCCTCAATTAAGTTTCGTTTCGTAGTTATTGCTCGCGCAAGCAATGGCCACTAACAGGTTGAAAATTTCGCCATGGCGGTTGCTAAATGAAAAATGCAGACATGCGAACAAATACCGAAAAGGGAAGCTGTAAAGCAGCACATTTGTTTTTATGTAAAGGAAGTTTCTTGTTTGGTTCATTTTTAACCTTTTACTTTGTTCCCCGTTCGCTGATATATGTGCTTTAATTCCCCTAGTTATTACTGTATAGTAAGTCTACATTATTTAATCAATCTTAGCACAAATCTTCGAATAAAACACTTCAAGTTATTGTAACAAAAAACAATAAAAATGGCTG